ACCAGAGACAGAATGGGGAGCAGAACAGGCAGATCTACTGAAATACACTGCTGAGGGGAGCAGCCCATAAGACAGGAGAGGTCTGCTGTGCCACGTGGGTCAACTCCCTGGTCGGGGATAGAATTCATGCCGCAGTGGCTAATGATAGCTTGTTAGCGCTGTATCTTTAACCCCTGCACCACCAGGAAGACCCTCTTGGGTATTATTATTAAATAAACAATTTATGTAAAACCACCACCAAGAACGGTGGTCTACTCCCCTATCTTTTCAATTATTTTCCAATGTTCTATATCATGTGTATTAATTTATAATCACAAAAAAATTTTCTGAAACAGTATTGGGGAAAAGGAGGACTTGACATCTCTCTGCTAGTAAACCGCCAGCTGGAGCCATCACTCAGCAGAAAACAGGAATTCAGCGAGTGGGCCAAAGGGAGACTCAAGTTTTCAAACAGGAAGCAACACAAATCTGCTTCTGGCTGTCAGAGATTCCTAGTGTAAAGCTCCAAAGCTCCTGGGGAAAGATGATGCTTGCCTTTGTAGTCAAAAGGTCGTTAGGAAGATTAAGTTGAGAAGCTAACTTTGTATAGTATGCTGTTTCATTGAAATGTAGAACCAGATTGAATCAATTCATTTCAGTCTGAACTACAATATTTAGTGCCTCTTGTGATCTAGAACAAATCATTTAAAGCTTGTTGGGTTATAATTCTTTCATGTGCCTATAATCCAAATGTCTTGACTCCATTAGATTTTGCATGCAATTAATATTTCCATTAAATAGCAAAATTACATTGGAGGAGACACCACCAACTTGACAGCTAGAAATCAGCCCACTAAAAATGTCCACTAGGGACATGTGAGGCTTTCCTAGCCAGTCTTAGGTGCACACAGATAGAGCCTGTATGTTTTGACTTGTCACACTGCTTTCCTGTCTCCTTAGTACACTTCTGGCCTTCCTCTCGCCATACTGCCTTTCCAGAGGGAGCATGCGCAGGAACTCTTACCCCAAGCATGGGGCTGGTCTTTCCATGGATTCCCCATACCACAATACAGATTTGGGCTTGTAAGTGTAGGGGGACAAAAATCTGTCACCCTAAAACATGTTTTTTTAGCAAAAGATTAATTTCATGGGAGTAGCTCTGAAGGCTAGCTAGGTGGAGATGCTTTTAAAAGATATTTACATGTAAACTATTTTTCCAAAATAACATTTAACAAGATTTACTTAACAGTCTAGTAAAGGAAGGGAGTAAAATGCAGAATAAACTTCAAAAATACCTTCTTTTCTCCTTTCTTTCTCCTTTTCTCCCTCTATCTTTCTCTCCTTCCTTTATTCTTTCCTTCTTTCTTTTTTCCTTTCCTCTTTTCTTTCAATAGTTTTTGAGTACCTACTATGTGCCAAGCATGGGTATGTAAAAACTGATGTTTTTACTTACAGTTTAATGAAGGAGATAAACTTTGACCAGATGATCATACAAATAAAGATCATCATAAATTGATAAATAGTTTGGGGAAAAAAGCAGAGAGGTCTATACACAGAGGAGCCTGGAGAGTTCTTGAGTAAATGTGAGTAGAGCTGAATGCTGAAAGATTCATGGGCATTCAGAGATAGAAAGAGGAAGAACATCCTACACTTAATGAACAGCTTGTGAGAAGGCTTTGTGGCAGGAAGGGTCTAGTTCTGTTTTGAAGAACTGGAAAGAGGACTGTATGAGAAGTGGAAAGACATGCAAACAGAGGAGAGAGTAGGTATCTGCATAATGAGCCACAGAATGGGTTAAGCAGGAATGTGACAGTCAAACGTGAATTACCTGAGTAGAAATGTGAACACTCTGTGGACAGAGTGTAAATACCTCAAAGAAAAGGCAAGACAGAGCTAGAGAAAAGTAACTGTGCTAGGAAAAGCAATATAGACTTTGTCAACTAGAGAAATCATATTTTTAAAAAATATTAAAAAGAGTAAGCAACAGCCACACAAAACTTTTCCACAAATGTTGAAAGCAGCATTAATCATAACAGTCAAAAAGTTAAAACAAATGTCTATTAATTCAGAAGTTCATAAGTAAAATGTACCATATCCAAACAATGGAATCATTATTCGGAAAAAAAGAAATGAAGCTCTGATACATACAAAAACATGTATGACCCTTGAAAAAAGTATGCTAGTGAGTGAAGACATAACATATCACTTATTACCTGATTGCATTTATATGAAATGTCCAGAATAAGCAAATTAATAGATACATAGATTATGGGTTACTTGGTAGGGTATGGGGTGGGGTATTGACTGCTAATGAATATGGAGCTTCTTTCAGGGTGGACAAAAACTGTTCTAAATTAGGTTTTGGTGATGATTGTACAACTCTGTAAATATAACGAAAAAAGCACCAAATGGTACACTTTAAGTGGCATATTGTTTGGTATTTGAATTATATAAAAATAAATCTTAAAAATGAAAATTACTTTATTATTATTTTTAATGAAAAAAGAATCCAGGGACTAGGGACAACTGTAGAAAAGGATCTCAATCCGGGGCCTCCCTGGTGGCGGAAGGGGTTAAGACACAGCCTATGAAGCTATCTGCAGCCATGGTAGCACAAGTTCGAACCCGGACGGCCAGGGAGCAACCCACATGGTGCAGCAGACCTCTCCTGTCTCGCCTGCTGCTCTTCTCAACAGTGTATTTCAGTCAGTCTACCTGTTCTGCTCCCCGCTCTGTCTCTGGTGAATCCTCTCACACCTCCTCACCTCTGGTCTGTACCCCAGTTCTTGTGTGCATAAATAAATAAATCTTTAAAAAAAAAAGGAAAGGATCTCAATCCTAATTTTTTCCTCACTTTACATTTGTTGTACTCTAAATACTTGTAGCAAGCAAAAGAGACCACCATGATTATCTTACTATTGTGAGCTGGGAGGATTTATTGCTCTTTTGTGCATTCAAAATAACAGAGTTGAGCCCACTCTTGATCTAAATTAGCAGCTGTTTCAGTTAATCATTATAAGGACAGCAAAAAGCACTCAGTCTTAATTCTTTCAGCATTTTAAACGAATGAATCTTTCCTTTAAAAATTTTTTCCTTTTAAAAAATAACCGTATGAATCTTTATTTTCATTAAAATTAAGACGTTAACTTCAAGATATTGCCTCAGGCCTTTTAAATGTTTATCTTGTATCTATTTCTTAAATTTTGATTAGGAACATGAATCATTATTTATTAAATATTCCATAGACTCAAAATAGCCACAGAGAAAGGGTTGATGAGGTTGAGCAGGTGGCAATACTTCTGTCCTCACATACTGAGAAGGCCAAGGTTTCTTAGCATTCCTGGTATCTGTATTGTTTCATAGCTCCTCAGCTGGCATGCGTGTGTGTGTGTGTGTGTGTGTGTGTGTGTATGTGTAGTGATTTCATTTGGCTTGAGCTGCTGTTATAAAAGTTTTATGTAAGTTCATTTCCTTTTTTCAGCCTCACTGTTACTGGTGTGTGCATGCCAAGGTGAATCTCGGGTTTAATCACTTTGAGTGTAGGCTTAAGTTAAATTGCCTTGTTTTATGTCTGAGGAAGCTGAGGCACAGGGTGTAAGTTACGTTGATTTGGCTGCTTCACCAGTTAAGGAGATATCTTCTACTTGGAACTTAAGTTTCTTGATTTTCTTTTAGTGAAACATACTTTTCATCTTTCAGTTTTCAACCTCTACCTTTTTAAATCTTGTACTTAGGAATAATTATCTGCATTGAGTATCACTTTATGCTGCTTTTTAAAAAAGAACTGATTTTAAGAATAGACAGGAGAGGTGGTTTCTCAGTGGTGTAAATGGAAAGAAAAAAAATCAAAGGCGACTTTTTGGGTCACTCGTTTTCCCAAGTAACAACCGCCCTTCCCCCCTTTTATCTCTCCTATTGTAATTAAATAGCAGTAACTACAGATGTTTTAAGCAAAATTAGCAAAAATCACCAGGGCTGCTCTGGCCTAATGGATTTCTAGAGGAGGAACGTCAAGGTCACTGAAAACGAAGTCTCAGGGTTCTCTCACAGAAATCATCAGTCTCCTAATCTCCCTGCTTGCTCTGTGGCCTCCTTAAGATTCTGTATCTGCAGGAAAGAGCTTAAAAAAAAAAAAAAAAAAGCAAATCATAGCTGTTTCCTTTCTATCTAAAAATCTCCTATGCTTTTTGCTCTACACTTAGTATAATTACTTTCTTGATTTACAAAGCCCTAAAGCATCTGGCCCACGTTTGTTTACTTCTCTAAGCCTATTTCCTCTTACTTTCTGATTTTCCTCCTCAAACTCAATTTAGGGGCTTCTAAATAGCTGTCTCCTTTGCCAGGAATGCTCTTCCCTCCTATATCTGCATGACTGTTACGCAAACCGCTGCTTAAGTGTATCCTCCTCAAGTGATTGCCCCACCTCCAGTATTCTAGTAGCCACCCAATCACAATCACCGCCTCATCATTTATTGCATTTTCTCTGCGTAGACCTTAACACCATGTATTTTTCTTTCTTCTGCTCACTTTCCGTCCCTCCAATCCTTCCTTCCTCCGCCTCCCATAAGCTTCCTACCACCTAGAATTGTTTTCAACGCTGCCCAATCGACACCCTGGAGTAATGCCTAACATGTGTGAGAGCTCAACAAATTTCTTGAATGAGAGAAATGATTATATGAATGTGCCCCCTTTTCCGTGCTCTCCTTTCCCAAGCAGGACAAAATATATAACGTAGAGACACTTAAAAAAATGTCTTTCTCATCCATCTGGTATTTCCATCCTTGAGGAAAAGATGTCCTTGAGGATACTGTACAACTTGACCGAATTGGCGCTTGCGATTCTAGGTGGCAATAATAACATTTATTTTTCATCTAGGTTTTCCCTTCCCGATTTCGACAAAGCGCACAGCTGCATGGTTGAGCACTAGGGCCCGGAGAGCCCTAGCTGCTAATTGTTGCGCTTCGGAAAGGGCCGTGGGCCTGGAGCGCCGTGAGTGGTCCTCCCTGGAGATGTTGGGGCGAAGGGGCGGAGCCACCCCGAAAGGATGGGCCTTACTTGGGCCGTCAGATCTGGTGGGGCTGCCGCCCTGGGAAGAGCCCCAGAATGAGGAGGCGGCGAAGCCAGGTAGTGGAGAAGCAGCAGCACAACTGACTCCAGGCCGTGAGCCCCAGGGGTCGAAGACCAGGAGGCCGCATCCAAAACCAGATCTGAAGAGCCAACCAAAGCTTGGGTACTCCGCCAGAGGAAAGGGTTAAACGGTTTCCCAGGTAACGGACCAGGAAGCGCGCAAGACGTCAGCCGCAGGTTCGTAGGTCAACTTCAGTTTAAAGCTCCCACGGCCGAGCGGGTTCTGGCCAATGGAGAAGGCGCTTGATCGTCACGTGACCCCAGGCCCGCTCCACTAGCGGCCCGGGAGCACGTGGGAAGGTTTTTCCTGTTTCTTCTCTTCCATCTTTCAAAGCCCACCCCCTTTTGCGCGGGCTTGGTCACGGAGCTCTTCTCGCGAGACGCGTGGCACCCTCTCGCGAGAGTGAGTGGGAGGCGTGGGGACAAGGTGGTGGTGCGGGCTGGAGCTGCGGCGGCGGAAGCCGGGGGTGGGCTGGGCAGGGCAGGGCGGGGGCGGGCCGTGGGGCGGGGAGGGGGAGGGCTGGGGGGCCGGTGCGGGAGGGGGCGCCCGCCTGCTCGGCAGCTCGCGCGACTGGTCGTTGCGGGCCGGTGACATGCCCGTGAGCTGCGGAGGCTGCGGCCCCCAGGTGAGCCGAGCGGGGCGCGGAGCAGCCGGCGTAAGCAGCGCGTCGACTGGGTTGGCGGCGGGGCTGGGTCGGGAGGATGGAGCGCCCGGCCCGGGCGCCTCAGCCTCTCCGCCTGCCTGCCGTGCCTGCGGTGCCTGCGGGACTTCGAGGCCCCAGGGCTAGGTGTTAGGGCGACGCGAGCAGCGTGGCAGAGGAGGAAGCCCTCGGCGCTGGGCCGGGGAAGGGGGTGTCCCGGGCTCTAGGTGTGGCGGTGGGGCTGCAGCGCTTGATTGACAAGCCCAGTTTCCATCAGCAGGGTGGGCCTCGGAGCCGGGTCCCCTGGGTGCGTGGAGGTGCGTGTGCTCGGTGTGTGTTCGTGGTCCGTGCACGGGAGCCTCTGCAGGAGGAGGACGTCGCACTTTGTCCCCAAACAGCATCTTTAACTGTCAGAACCTCTAAGACCTGGACCCAGGCGCAGCCCAAATCTTGTGACAGAAACGGAAGGCATCAACCCGCTTCTCGGAGTGTTGGTTTGGATTTGCTGTCAAATTTTTGTCCAGGCTGCTAGTAGCGTAAATGCTGGCCCAATAGTATTCCAAGTGGATTGGGATACTCCTAGTATTCCAGGAATCTAAGCTGCTTGATTTAAAAAAAAAAAAAAATGTAGATTTGACCAAAGTGTTTTTTTTTAAAAGTTGGCACAAATAACAGTGGCAGTAGAATCCACATCTCCAAGGTGGTATGGCTCGGTAACAATTCTTTTTCTTTGCTTGCCTTCTCCAAAGTCTTACTCAATTGACGGTGGTTAGCTTATAAAGTTAAGGATTTCAAAATCAGAAATAATTGCTGCGATACATAGTAAATGACCTAGGTGCAAACCAGAGTTTAGAATCTTGTTCTTTTCAGTGCTGTAGCTATTCAGTACCTTGCAAAACATGTGCGTTTTCTTTAGCTTCTTCCTGCCCCGTTAGGAATGCTATATTGATTGATGCTGATTTTGATATGTCTGAATATACAAAGAAAATGCAATGTTCAGAAAATAGAGTACTCAGTGCAAATATGGTTTTAATGTCTTGTTTATGATGTTAGCAAATGGCAGCACAGTTCCCAGCATGATTAGTGTCAGTTAAAATACTGCAATTGAATGATTTTTTTTTTTTTAAATATATAGTCGTGTTTTTCAAGTGGTACCCTGGTTATTCATACTCTTGTTTCTTATGGTGGCATTGACCCAAGGTTTACAGCAGCAGAACTATTTATGAGAGATCAAAGACTATAAGGGAAGTCAGAGAAGAAATGGTTCCCAAGCTGTACTTGTAATTAGTTATGTACCCACATAACTGCACTTACCCTTCTTAAGGGTCTAGTGGCAAATTCCTAGGCATTGTTGAGGATAGGGAACTTGCGGAAGATCAAGAGCCACAGTCAGAAATTTTCTAGCTTCTGAGCTCTCAGGGTGTCTAGAAACTAAAGTTCCTCTTTGCCTTTAGAGATTGGAAGAAGGATAGTACTTTTATTTATTTATTTATTTTCATTCTAGAAACTTAGTATCTGGGAAAAGAAATCAAGCCAAACCAGATTTGATTTTAAGGAAAATTTCCAATTACAGATAGGTTGTAGAGTTCTGCCCATACTTGGAGAATATGTCAGAAACTTAGGAAGTATCCTTTTGTGAATGGGCAAAAAGAGATCAGTCTCCATTAGAAAAGTTCCCTCCTGTTCCATCTTGGTAAACTGACTTTCAGGAATTGACGATTAGAATATTTTGCTAATCTCTAAAATCTTTTGGCAAATGTTTCAAGCATTTGGGATGTAGATATATGTTGTTTTACTTGCCTTTCGAAAGTAATTGAACTAACTTTGGGTAGGTTAATTATTTAGGTAGACTATTAGTTCCTTTTTTTTTGGTCATCAGTGGCCTGCATTTCAGTAACGAAATCAGTCATTTGGAAGGAACAAAGTGTGGGGATAGTCAGAAAAAGCCCTAAGCTTAGCCTGGGTTTGAGTTAAGGGTCTATAAACTGGTGAAGAAAGATACTTTACTACTTTAAACACAGACCAAACATCCAAATATCTTTATTCTACCTTATCTTTGTATATAAAAGTTCATTTTATTATTTTATTTTTGAATATTTACTAGACTAAGGGCATTTGAAATGTATAGATTAGAGCCTAGATATGATAAAACGGAAAAAACCTAACATTTTTGTCTTAATCTGAGAATACTCTGGGGAAAAAAATTAAGATAAATGGTATAATGGACTGGAACAAAGAGGATGTTACTTAGGTGAAATTGAGCTATCGTGTTTGTAAAGAGTTTGGGTTTTGAAGACAGACCTGTTAATATCCCTGAACCTCATAGCCCTCATTTCTGAAAGGAGAACTAAAATAACTGAAAAAGTTATTGTGAAGTACATAGTAGCTTCTTACTAAGTATTTTTTCTTTGACCTCTTTTAGTGATTTGAGGATTATTTGGCTGCAAGGAACAAAAACCCGTTTGATTTAATTTACTGAAAAAAGATACCTGTTAAACAGTTGGAAAACTGTGTAAAGTCCATTGCATGAAGACCAACCTAGTATTCTGGGGCCAGAAAATCTTCAGGCAGTTATTCTTCCAGTTTTTCTCTGTGTAACATTTGTTTCACTTTTTCCAGATTGGCTCTTGGTTTTTGCTTCCCCATAACTTTGGTTTGTATGAAACTCTGGCTTATACAGGTGCCAACACCAGACTTGATTTTGCAGAATTGGTCTGAACAGTTATCTCCATATCTTAATTCTGAATTTTTGGAGAGAGAATTCAGTTGGTCAGTTGCTACTCCAGTTAGTTGAAGGTGGGGGAAGATGGCATTGGGAAAATGGATGGGGAGGTTATATAGGTGTATCTCACAGCTTATTTTTTCAGACTGGAGAATGCACTAAGAAAGGCTGTGTGGACAGGAAAGAAATGATGAGTTCCTTTGGTACACTTCAACATCTTGTAGCTTGAGTTTTCCCCTAGCACTGCATGGAACTTAATCAGGGCAGTGTTCTTTTTTCTGGCAGAATCTGCTGGATGTGTGAGTTAGGGCATATTGTGTAAATGCTTTGTGCTTTGTTTCCTTATATGTAAAATGGGTATAACAACAGCACCTTTTGTTGTGAGAAGTATGGATTCTCATTAACAGCAATTAAACATTGCCTCTCTGGCATCAGGTAAAGATGTGGTATTATTATTACTGAGTGCTTCTTGTGTGGCAGGTACTATGATAGGGGCTTAGCATTCAGAGATGAAGTAGTATCATTTATGTCCTAGAAGTTTAAAAATCTGATGTTGACCACTCCATACTTAAAAACTATTTCTTATCTTCAGTGACACCAAATTCTTCCAAATCTCTACTTTGCTTTTCAGATTGCCTCTTACATATGGTTCTTTGTTTACCTGCCTGAGGACCTTTTTTTTTTTTTGAAAGATTTATTTATTTATATAAGCACTGGGTACAGTCAGAAGCGCGGGAGGGTGAGAGGATTCACCAGAGCCAGAGCATGGAAGAGAACAGGCAGACTGACAAAATACACTGCTGAGGGGAGCAGCAGGCGCCGCAGGAGAGGTCTGCTACACCATGTGGTACCCTCACCTGAGGCCGGGGATTGAACAGGTGCTGCAGAGGCTGCGGGCAGCTGAGAACCTTTTATCATGGTTGCTACTTTAGATCTTTTTTTTTTTAAAGAGTTATTTATTTATGCAAGAACTGGGGTACCGGCCAGATATGCAGGGGATGAGAGGATTCACCAGAGACAGAGTGGGGAACAGAACAGGCAGACTGACTGAAATACACTGCTGAGGGGGGCAGCGGACGAGTCAGGAGAGGTCTGCCACGCCATGTGGGTCACCTCCCTGGCCGGGGAATCAAACTCATTCTGCAGAGGCTGCAGATCGCTTCATAGGGGAGTCCCCTAGATCTTTCTTTATCCTCTATTGTTTCCTAGTGCCTAGGACCAGCATGCAAGTTCTGATATGCATAAGAGACCTAGAGCAACATTTCCAGCTCTGACTACCTGACTAATGGGTATTTTTTTTGGCATATAATATTGGCCTAAAACACTATCTTTTGTTACCTTATAATACCACTTTTCTTCTAGTTTGAAATCTTTAAATTATCATTTATACTCTTTTTTAATGTCTTCTATATTCTGTCATTTATTAGGTTCTGCAAGGGTTGTAGGATGCTTCCTACTGGCCTTGCACTGAATCCTCTACAAAGCAAATCCATTCACTCAAGGCAGAGCCTTATTACTGTTTGCTAGAGCTGCTTAAATGCCTTCTCAGCATATGCTCCTAAAATTAGAGTCACAGATGTCATTGATAAACAGAAATGTGTTTCTAGGTTAAAATTCTGAACATAATCTTACAGATGGGGGTTATGTACAGGATTAGGCAATATACTCACATTGAAAGCACCTCAAGATTTTAGGATTTTTTTTTTTTAAGTTGTGTTTATTGTTGGTGCACAGGGAATTCTGAAGTCACTAGCAGTTCACCCTTTGTATTTTGTCAATTAGGCCCATATTGTTATTTTAAATATCAATGACTG